ATAATTACATCTCAAAAGATTAAAAATGCCTTATATTTTTTAACATCTAACTCCTCACAAAATGTCTTATATTTTTTAACGAAAGAAATATATTTTTTTAATTGCTACACATCATTCTTGTACAGAGCACATCCTAATTTTTTTTTTAAAACCCACCCGAGTATTTTAGGATCTAATTTAGATTGTATCTTCAAAATTAATTAGACCCTTTGAGTTTGGTGAAAGTCAATTTAAAGCTAATTAAACATACTTAATATACTAAAAGGTAAATTAGAATATATTAAAAATAATTGTCACTATAATAAATGAAAGATAAATAACTAAATTAGAGTAAGCTAACTTTAATATTTAATTTATCTAATAATTTTTTAGAGTAATGCTGTGCTTGGCTTGCAAAGGAACATAGTAAGGAGAGAAAATGAAAAGAATAGAAAAGTGAAGGCATGCAATTTTCTTTCGTTATGCTTGGTTAAGCGAGAAAAAACAAGGAAAAAAAATTGTTAATTTTATATTAACAATAATAACCTTATTATTTATAAAAATATTTATATAATAAAATTTAATATTTTAACATATTATATATATAATAATTTTTATCATATATTATTGACCAAACAAAAAATAATTAAAAATTATGCTATCCAATACTAACAAAAAAATCATTTTATCTAATTTAAAATTTTATTTATTAAATTATTAAATATATAATAACCTTAAAATTTGAAAATACAATCAAATATATATTTAACTGAAAATTAACATGAAAATTTAGACTTAGCATTTGTCTAATTAGCCTAAAAATTAGTAAATATATTGCTTGTTTAATAAATGTTTACGATCAAAATATAACTATATTATAAATATCATGATAAAGATTAAGGGAAGCAAGATGCGGCAATAAAAAACATTGATGAGCAAATTTAAAAATGCTTTTGATGAATCAAAGTATAAATGTTGGTTTTAGAAAATTTAAGATTTCAATAAAAATTAAATCCTTCCAAAATATTCATAAACTTTGCTGCAGTTGCTGCTGGTAGGTGAAAAACTAAAAATCATAAACTCTGCTGCAGCTGCTGGTGGGTGAGAAACTGAAAATCATAAACTCTTCTGCTGCAGAAACTGAAAATCATGAACTCTGCTGCAGTTGCTGGTGGGTGAAAAACTGAAAAAATGGGTGAGAAACTGAAAATCATAAACTCTTCTGCCGCAGAAACTGAAAATCATGAACTCTGCTGCAGGTGCTGGTGGGTGAAAAGCTGAAAAAATCATAAACTCTTCTGCTGCAGCAGGTCTATGGCTTTACCATGGTCATTGTCATGTCATGGACACCTTGTACAAATATCTTCTCTATCCTTATCTATAAAATAATTTTAATTAAATTTAACATATTAATAAAAATTTATTATTTTATTAAACAACAAAATGATAATAACAAATTTTACCTCTAATAATGTTATAATTAATATTATAATGGTGATAAAAATTTATAATTAATGATCTATTTTATTTTTTAAGATAAAAATAAATTATTTAATTACTCAATAATATCATTACACCTCTTGCATTTAGGAACAAAATAAATTTTTAAAAATATATAAAGACAGAGGGAGTAGTTGATTTGTGGAGACAAAGGAAAATTACAATAATAAAATATTATAATTTTTTTTTGGCATCCCAACCAGCTATGTTCCCAATTTCAGATAAAGATAAAATATTATAATTTGAAAAATAAAGAACGAGATAGCAAACAATTTGGTTGAGATGTTTATATTGTTGTAAATTATCTTTTATTTTTTTAATATATTTGATCTTTTTATAAAAATAAAAACGCAAATAATCATCAGGCACTACACGACAATTTTGAACGAAGCAGCAGAAAAAATGTTGTGGACAATGCTGAAAACCGGTAACACGGAAGTACGAAAGTGACGAAACAGTGTTGATATTATTATTTACAGATTCTGTATTCTTTTTTTTTTTTTTTTTGGGTCAGTTTTGAAGATTTCCCTGTAGCAAGCTGCTGCCTTCAACAGCAATGCCAGCAACCCGCTCATGCGAGCTCATAGTCAAAGGAAAAATTATGGAAGAATTTTTTCTTCCCCACACGAAATTAAATCTCATCAAATGATAATGATCTCTCAAAAATAATTTTAATTTAAATAACTAAATTGCTTCTTATTTAAAATAATAATTTATAATTTTTATTTAAACTATCATAATTTTTATTATGTAAATAACAAAAATTGAATAAAAAATTATAACTTTTTGTGTGAATTTTTTATCATTAAATTCTAAGTTTTAAAAATAACCAGTTACAATTTTTGTTCAAATAATCATAATTTTTATTTTACAAATTTAGCAAATATTAAACAAAAATTATAACTTTTTATGCGAACTTTCTTTTATCATTAAAATTCAAGTCATGAAGAATAACCAGTCACAACTTTTGTTTAAATAATCATAATTTTTATTATGTAAATTGCAAATATTAAACAAAAAATCACAATTTTTTACCTGAAATTTATTTCATCATTTAAGCCCAAGTTCTAAAAACAATTAATTATAACTTTTTTAAATAATTATAAATTTTATTATGTGAATTATAAATATTAAATAAGAAATCACAACTTTCTATATGAAATTTATTTTATCATTAAACATGGGGCAATTTTATTATTTAACCTAAAATCATTAATGTCAAAAGAATACCTAAGGACTTGAGAGGAATTATGACATTTTGAGGCACTTGATTTTCATTTATATATTTTGGTGATATTTTATTATCATTTTCCCTTATTATTTATTTATTTTATTTTTTTCTCTTTTACAAAATTAATTGTTATGTTATAATATTACATATTCATTTTTTAAGTGCAAATATATATTCTAAATTCTAAATTTAATCTAAAATTTTAAAATATTTTATTTTTGGGGCTAAAAATAAATATGAACTTCAGTGGGTAGCTTGAGATCGAGCAATTTTTTTAGGATTTAAACAAGCTAAGCTTAAAAGTTTTTTATATAAAAATAGGACAATTTTCAATGCTCTAGACTTCAACAGAAGTGCTTAAACAAGCAGCTGCACAAACTGGCTCTAATGCCGGCTGAGGTGGAAGGGGGTCACTTGTCAGTAGCCACCACCCAATGTCATTAGTAAATGTTCCTTTTATCTCATGTATTTATAAAAAGCAAATATATTATATCCATGTAAGAATAAGATGAGTTTAATTACGGAAAAGTTTTGATTCAATTAAAATTTAGTTTTTAAATTTTGAGTCAGTGTTTTGGCAAAAAAAAAAAAAATTGAGTCCATGCAACTTGACCTCTATACCTAAAGTTTGATTCATGCAATTAATTTCTAAATTTTGACTTAGTGCAACTCTATTCATATAATTTTAATTATTTTAAATATTGTTTTCTATATTTTAAAAATAAAATTATAAATACCAAAGTTATTTCTTGAAATTAAGGAACTAATATCTCAAACTGCTAAAACTATAAGCATGGTGTGTTTATGATTGAACAAAAATTGAGACCAAATTATATGTTTCCTCGCTAGTTAAATCACTAATTCTGTGCATGTGATCCTCTACCTTCCCTGAGAAAAAGGACAAATTAAATGAAACTGATTGATGTTTCAAAAACAAAAAAAGAATAAATGGGTAAAAGTAATGAAAAGATATTACATCTTAACTCAAAATCTTAAAATTTGAGTTTATGAGTTTTTTTTTTAATTTTATATTAGTTATTAAACTCAATTTTATTTGATGTAAAAATTTTTACATTAGTTCAAGTCCATTCATATTTGAATGACCAAAAAATATTTGCTTACAAACAAACAACTTTGTCAAATGATAGTGGCACGTGTTACGTTCCATTGATTTGTTTGCTATTCAACATCTTGCTTTCATCTTTGCCTCTCTTAAAACTAAGTCAACTAAGATGTTGTATGCATAAGTGCTGATATTTGAACTCCAAGACCTCAACGACTTGTTTGAGTGATAGTAATAGCCTCTAACTTTGTGTGTGTGTGTGTAATCACCCAAAACCAGACTATTTAGTATTTACAACCACCAATTCATTAACCTGCAAAATCTATTCCTACTGATTCATCAACAGTCTCAAGTTCTTCCCAAAACCCATGGATATTTCTGAAAGTAATTCCAGCAGTAAGCTCGTAGCATTATGGTGGATTATTATTCTCTGCATATTCTTCTGCGTTATTGCATCGTTTACTTCTGCTGCCACTGAAGATAGTGAAGCAAAAGCGTTGTTGAACTGGAAAGCCAGCCTCAGCAAACAAAGCCAAGCTATATTGTCTTCTTGGAGCAACATTGACACTATTTGCAGAAACTGGAAGGGGATTTCTTGCGACCAATCCATGTCTGTGATCAATATAAGTCTCTCAAATCTTAGCCTACGAGGTACACTTTACAGGCTCAACTTTGCTTCCTTTCCTGGCCTGAAATATTTTGATCTAAGTTGCAACAATATTTATGGAAGCATTCCCCAAAACATTAGTAACTTGTCCAGTATTTTGATACTGAACTTGTGCAATAATCCTTCACTTAATGGTTCTATTCCACCTGAAATTGGGACTTTGACCACTCTAAAACATCTTGATCTTAGTGGATGTCATCTCACAGAGAGAATCCCCGATGAAATTGTGAATTTGAGAAACCTGACCCATCTGTCTCTTGGAGAAAATTCCCTTTCTGGTCCAATCCCAGAAGAGATTGGAAGGTTGAGCAGTCTTCTGTTTCTTAATTTGGCAAAAAATTCTCCATTATCAGGTAGAATCCCACCATCCATTGGAAACTTGACTAAGTTACAACAGATTTATCTTTACATGAACAATTTCTCTGGTCCTATTCCTGATGAATTTTGGAAGCTCCATTCTCTCATTAAGATTCAATTATATCAAAATGAACTTTCTGGGCCAATCTCTCCTTCATAGGAAACTTAACAAAACTCAGAAAATTGTCCTTGAGTAATAACAGGCTCAGCGGTTCAATTCCTCCGTCCATTGGTAACTTGATCAATTTAACTCACATCCATCTCACAAACAATAGTCTCTCAGGACATGTTCCTTCCACTATAGGAAACATGACAAAGCTCACTGTCCTGCTGGTGAACCATAACAACCTCAGTGGTTACCTTCCACGAGAAATGAATAACTTTACCGGTTGGTATAACATCCAAGTGGGTTATAATAACTTCATTGGCCATTTGCCACATCAGGTTTGTCGAGGAGGCAAGTTATTTAGGTTTATGGCTTCTCATAACCATTTCACTGGTCCTATTCCAACAAGTTTGAAGAATTGCTCTAGTCTAGAAAGACTCGGGCTTGAAGGTAACCAATTAGCTGATAATGTGACTGATGCTTTTGGAGCATACCCTCAATTGAATTACATCAACCTGAGTGGTAATAAATTGTATGGCCATCTTTCATCAATGTGGGGGAAGTGTCCAAATCTCACGCAGCTTGTCATTGATAATAACAAGCTTTCTGGTGTTATACCACCGGAATTAGGAGATGCAACTAAGCTTGGTGTGCTTAATTTCTCTTCAAATCATTTCTCTGGACAAATTCCAAAAGAGCTAGGAAAGTTGGTCTCTCTGACACGTCTCTCTTTGAGCCATAATAACTTCTCAGGTAATGTTCCCTCAGATATAAAATCACTTAACCTACTTGAAGAGTTGGAGTTGGAAGCAAATAATTTCAATGGCTCAATCCCAAAAGAAATTGAGAGCTTAGAAAGGTTAAGAGAATTGAATCTGAGGAAAAACAGGTTTGAGGGAAGCATTTCCTTGGAGTTTGGGAAACTCAGAGATCTTGAACAACTTGATCTGAGTGAGAATTTGTTGAGTGGGAAAATACCCACAATGCTTGGAGTGTTACAGAAATTGGAAATATTGAACCTTTCACGTAATAATTTCTCTGGCACTATCTCCAGTTTCAGCAAAATGTTAGTTTCTGCTGATATATCATTCAACCAATTAGAAGGTCCTATTCCAAACAACCAAGCCTTTCTCACCTTTGAAGCATTGAGAAATAACAAAGGTTTGTGTGGTAATGTCTCAGGTTTACCATTGTGTACTAATTCCCAGCAGACAACTACTAATGGTCATAATAAGATCAAAAAAATCTTGATTATATTCCTCCCATTGGCCATACTACTATTAGTAGTGCTTGGAACTGGCATAATTTTTCAATGTGTAAGAAAGGAAAAAAACAAAGATGAAGAAGCAGATGTCTATTTTGTATGGAGTTCTGAAAGAGAAATTCTGTATGAAAATATAATTGAAGCCACAATGGACTTTGATGTCAGATATCTCATTGCAAAAGGTGGTCAAGGAAGTGTTTACAGGGCAGAGTTGCCTACAGGTCATGTTGTTGCTGTAAAGAGGCTTCATTCATCAATATCAAGTGCTGGAAAAATCTGCAACCAAAAAGCTTTCTTAAGCGAGATTCAAGCCTTGACAGAGATCAAACACCGCAACATTGTGAAACTATATGGGTTTTGTTCCAATTCACAATTCTCCTTTTTGGTTTATGAGTTCTTGGAAGGTGGCAGCTTGGAGAACATACTGAAAAATGAGGAACAAGCCCCTAAGCTTGATTGGAATAAGAGAATCAATGTTGTTAAATGTGTAGCCAAAGCTTTATTCCATATGCATCATGGCTGTTCCATTCCTATTGTTCATCGTGACATATCAAGCAAGAATGTTCTTCTAAGTTCAAAATATGAAGAAGCTCGCATCACTGACTTCGGAACAGCCAAGTTTTTGAACCCTAATTCAAGCAATATCACCACATTTGCAGGCACATTTGGGTATGCTGCTCCAGGTAAGATCATTTTGTTTGTTCTTTCCAAGGTAAACTACTCTTTGTCGCTACATATATATATATATATATATATATTAAGGTTGTACTTGTAACATTGAACTTGTTGGTTGCAGAGATTGCTTACATCATGAAGGCAAATGAGAAATGTGATGTCTATAGCTTTGGAGTGTTGGTTTTGGAAATCATTATGGGAATACATCCAGGAGAGTTTATTTCATATTTGGCGGAGAAATCAACCACATATGATTTGCTATTAAAAGATATGATGGATCCACGACTTTCACCCCCTATAAAACGAATCCGTCATGAGGTTATTGAAGCTGCAAAAATAGCATTTTCTTGTTTGAATGAGAATCCTCAATCTCGTCCAACCATGGAGCAAGTAGCTATGAAGCTTGAAAGGCCACCAAAATCTCATTTAGAGGATCAATTTGACACCATCACAATTGGACAACTCATGAAGGATTGAAGTTCTCAAGTCATTTGCAAGTGCGCCTGCTTGTTTTAATATTGTATGCTTCTGTGGTTTCTGTACCATAATACGTATGATCAGTTTGTGGCTTGAATAAAATAGAAGTGAATGTTTAGCTTCCGCATTATCCTTTTCACTCCCAAAATTAAACAATAATGGATTACTATAATTATTGAAAGAATGAAATTTTGGTCCCTTGATTTTTTTTCAATAATTAATTTGATCTTTGAACAATTTTTATCAATCAAGTTTCTAAAGTTTATAACTGTTCATGAAAGGACTATTTTTGTATTTGAAACTTTAGAAACTTTACTAATAAAGATTGGATTTCTCATTTTAGAGATCAATTTGATAATTGAGACAAATTTAAGGGATCAAAATTTTTATTTTCTCTAATTTTATTCAAGGAAAAATTAATCCATAGGTCTTTATAGTTTTACACGATTTTAAATTAGGTCCTTGTAATTTATTTTATTTTAATCAAATATCTATAATTTGATCAATTAAATATGTTAGCTCTTGATTATTGAAATACTTTAATTTTATCTTTTTTTAAAAAAAAATGAAACTAAGGGCTTCTATATGTTTATTAATAGATTACAAAATTTTAGAATTAGTTTCACAATTTTTATTATTCAAAATTTAGATAATTAGGTTGTGCTTTTCAATAAAATTTATATATATAGAGTTTTCATAAAAATTAATACAAATTTAAGTATTGTATTAAATCAAATTTTTTTAGCTAAAAATATTAAATAATTTTTTATAAATTTTAAAAATATTTTTTATTTTGAAAATGTCAATCATTCATTCATAATGTTAAGTTTCAAAAATTAATATATTTAATCGATGAAATTTTAAAAATAAAATTGATCAAACTATACATGCTTAATTAAAATAAAATAAATTTCAGGGACTTGATTCAAATTTTAGTTTAAATTTAACCTTTTTGAGGCTCATTCAATCCCTGGGCTTCAATTGTCAGAAAATGAGTAAATTGTTGAAAAGCGTAAGCCCATAAAACAAAAAAGAAACAAACAGTACCATTAAAAAAAATGAGCCCAATAAGCTTAATACTTGTTCCTATAACGGGCCAGATGATGCTGGGGCTAAACCCAATGATATGGATATAGTTTTAATTTTTTTTAAAGAAAAATATATTGAAGTCTCATATAAAAAAATTAATTTTTTTTAATTTAATTATTAATAAATTTTATAATAATTTTTTGTGTGGAATCTAGATATAATTTTATTTTTTTTAATGGCCAAATGTACATTTTTGCTATTAAAATATTATTTAAAAAGCGTTAAGTATCCTAAACTGTTTGATGGAGTAATTTTGTCTTTACAATAATTAAAACATAGCATTTTTACATTGTTATCAAATTTTCAGTGTTAGCCATTAAAAATATTAACTTAGATTCCAATGTTAAACTATTAGAGAATTTAACGGAAAGAATAAAAGTACTCCATTTTAATTATTTTAAGGGTAAAATTATTTTAATAAATAATTTAGGATGATGAGTGCTTCTAGGAGAATACTTTAAAAGCAAAAATATATTGTTACTTTTTTTAAAATTTTACAAAATTATTTTATATTTTTTTCTTGGAAAAATTAAATTTTTGAAATGGATATATTCATTTCGAGACGTGGATATCCTTTTAAGAAAAAATTGATTTTCTTTAATTTACTTGTTTTAGAAATCATTTGCGACATAAAAAAAAAAAGCAATCATTTTTTATGGGGAAAAAAAACATTCATTACATCGTCCTCATTTGTTAACCACGCTCTCTTTTATTGCAGTACTTTCATGAGTATTTCAATCATTTTAATCTTATTTTTACTTAATTTAAAAATAAAAAACATGTTTAAATCGATTTGCTTACAACTAACTGACCTGCCTGAGTTATTTTACATTCTTTACAAGCTGTTTGGTGGATGAAATTAAATTTAAAATTTAAATTTATTTGCATATTTAAAATTCATGTATTTAAAGTCTTTTATTTGAGTAATGCAATAAAAATTCTAAGGAAAAAGAAAGGCAGGTGGAGATTCAACATAAAAATAATAGAAATATTGTTAGTGACAAGTCTAATTACTTCTATTTTTCAATCAAAAATAAATAAAAATGATCGATGAAAAAAAATGGCAAGAGCAATAAAGGCACTAACAACAAAAACACGGAGGGAAGCAAAGAGTTGGAGTATAAATGAAATCTTAAATAATTAGAGAACTGAATTAATTTTAAATTATAAAAAATTATAAAAATAAATATGTATAAATTTATATCAAGTCCAAATCTAATTTTTCATTAATTAATCTAAACACGACATATATATGGACAACATTATTTATGTTCAGTAAATGACTCCCTCTTTTTCAGAGACCGTACGTTGTTTTCATTACAAAATCAAAATAAATTAAATGCAGAAAAGCATACATGTGCGTCGTGTGTATAAAGAATAAACAAACCCTTGACAACATTTGCATCACAAACATCAGTGACTTTTGGTCCATAAGGAAATTAAAAAGTCATCGGCCTGAAGAGTGTTTACATATTCAGGTCAAAAGAAGAAGAAGAAGAGTGTTTACATATTTAAAGTCAAAAAAGAAGAAGAAGAAGAAGAGTTTTTACATATTCAGGTCAAAAGAGAAGAGTGTTTACGTATTTAAATTCTTCAAAATTCCAAATTGACGTGCTTTGGTTTTTGTCTTTTAATTATTAGAGTGCCTTACAGAATGTTAAAACATAAAATAAATATTTCACGTGTTTTAATTGATAAAGAATAAATTCAACCACAACAATAAACAATGGTGGATTAATTTCGAATGGTGATACATTCACATTCAGATAATTATATATTGTTGGGATTTGATATACATGGGTGAGGAAGTCAAAAGTGGGTGAGTAAGTCAAAAGTGAAGGAATTGTATTGTTTATATAAACCCGTAAAAATAAAATAATTGATGAATGTACCTAACACTACTAAATTTTTGTTGTAACAGTACTCCTCTATCCCAACGTCAGTGCCAGCTAGTTAACATATATTTTAAAATTTTTAAGATGTATCACAAAGTTTTAAGATAAAACACATGCACCTAATTTGCCTCATAATTTTTTCCTTTGTTAAGTTATTTAAATGTGATTGGAGTATAAATTATATGAGAAATGTCACGTTGAATAAAAATAATTTTAATAACTAATATAAAATTAAAAAAACTCATATATTTGAAAAGTTTTGAGTTAAGATATAGTGTTTTCTTCCACTATTTTTTTTTTAATCAATATCAATAATCATAATTATTTCACATGTTATACGAGTAAAAATTTAAGATTTCTTTTTACGATGTTTAATAACAAAATATAAGAATATGAGCATTGAATTTCAAAACTTAAATTATGACAAAAATCTTGTTTAAAATCAATTTTCTCCTGAGATGGATCTTTATTTGTCACTCTCCCAAAGGAAAATACTCAACCACAACATTCACTGTCATTCAGGCGACAACTTGTTCATACAATGGGGTACATGACCCTTGAGCTTCCAATAAATATATATATATTTATGTTCATCACTATACCAGCAAACTCACATATGACATAATAATTAAGAAGTCCAATCCTCCATTACTTTCCCAAGTGTGATGGAAGCAAACTGGTCCTCTAAATGAGATTTTTGTGGCCTTGCAAGCTTCGTAGTTACTTGCTCCATGGTGGGACGAGATTGAGGATTCTCACTTAAACAAGAAAATGCAATTTTTGCAACTGTGATAACCTCATCAAGATTGATTTTCTTGGTGGTGAAAGTCGTGGGTCCAACACATCTTTTAACAGTAAATCATAAGTAGTTGATTTCTCTGCTAAAGATGAAATGAGCTCTCCTGGATGCATTCCTATAATTATTTCCAAAGCCAGCACTCCAAAACTATAAACATCACATTTCTCATTCGCTTCCATAACGTAAGCAATCTCTGCAATAAGTTTAACATTACAATCTCAAACACACACACACACACACACACACACAGAGAGAATTAAAGAGCAGTGTACTAAAGGAAAACAAACAAAATGGTCTTACCTGGAGCAGCATACCCAAATGTTCCTACAAATGTGGTCATGTTGCTTGAGTCAGGCTTCAAGAAACTTGGCAGTTCCAAAGTCAGTAATGCGAGCTTCATCATATTCTGAACTCAGAAGAACATTCTTGCTTGATATGTCACGATGGACAATGGGAACTGAACAACCATGATGCATGTGGAACAAAGCATTGGCCACATCTTTAACAATGTTCACTCTCTTATTCCAATCAAGCTTAGTGGATTGGTTCTCATCCTTCAGTATGTTGTCCAAGCTGCCACCTTCCAAGAACTCATAAACCAGAAAGGAGAATTTTGAATTGGAACAAAACCCATACAACTTCACAATGTTACGATGCTTGATTTCTGTCAAAGCTTGAATCTCACTTATAAAAGCTTTCTGGTTGGAGATTTTCCCCCCAGAAGAATGAAGCTTCTTTACAGCAACAACATCACCTGTAGGTAGCTCAGCCTTATAAACACTTCCTTGGCCTCCTTTCCCAATGAGATAACTTTCATCAAACTCTCTTGTGGCTTCAACGATATTTTCATACAATATTTTTCTATTAGAACTCCATACAAAATAGATATCTTCTGGTTGCGCTTCTTCATCTTCTTTCACTTTTCTTGTATGTAGGGAAAGAATGCAAAATGTTGCAACCACTACTAGTACTAGGAGTATGCCCAGTGGGAGGAAGATCTTCAAGAACATTTTGCTCTTATGACCATGTCCATTTGTTTGGGAATTACTACAAAGACTTAAACAGTGACATTACCACACAGACCTTTATTGTTCTTCAATCCTTCAAAATTGTGAAAGGCTGGAATGTTCGGAACATGGCCTTCTAATTGGTTATATGACATGTCAACAAAAGACAAAGCTAACATTCCCCCAAAAGTTGAAGAAATGTCACCAGAG